TCTCTCTCTCTCTCTCTCTCTCTCTCTCTCTCTCTCTCTCTCTCTCTGACGGTCTGCCAGACTGTGCTTTCCATTATTTGATAACTAGTCTGACGGGTGATATTAAACCACTTTGCTCGAGTTGTAAGCCTCCATGTGGTAAATTCTCTAATAATTGTTCATTGTCCGTCAGTGCTAGTATCCATCACCCAGCCACTGGCGCACTGTTTTTAGTCACGGGGAAACTGAGCACCGACCATTTCACAAAAGCTCAGTCGTGTTGCTGTCGGCTGACAGGACATTAGAATTAAGAGATTAGCCCTAAACGAATAACTGTCATGTTACGTTTGTTAGACCATGCATGGGATGATGATGCCCCAATTTTTTGTAGAAAAAAACTTTAATTTTCATATTGATTTATTTTTGAAAGGATCTGAATGTGTCTTTGTTCAACACAAACAACTTCAATAGGAACGCAGTATAAAAGTGAGCACATTAGCCAGCTCATTCCATGAGTAGTGGAAAGAAAATTGCCTTTAGCTTTAAGTATATTATTGAAAAAGAAAAGCCCATTCATTTCATAATAGACGGTGCGACTGATGATGAAAGGAAAGAAAAAGAGATGACTCTTTATGAGGATAGCTGGTCTTTTAAACATGGTTTATGACGCACCGTTCAGCTCCATTAAGGACCTAAGGTCTTGGAAAATACCTCCACTGCCAGAATGAAAGAAATAGACATCTAAATGGGTTGTTCAAAAGATGAAAATCAAGTTTGATATGCTGAGCAGAACAGATGAGATGACGCTGAGATGTCAGTGACCTGTATCTGCATCGCGCTGCAGAACTACCGGCAGTACTTTTTACACATAATTATCACAGATGGCACAATTAATGAATACATCCTGTAATTAATTGAGCTCTTGCTCTGGTGCCAACGGATCAGTTCACAATATTATATATACGTGAACACCAGTGTGTTCAGAATATTAGGCAGGGATTCCATCGCAGAGACGACAGGGAAGATGGAAGAGAGACGGGGTTGGTTGGGTGCACGGCAATGGTTTCATTGGTACGCCATTGTTGCTTCCTCCTGCAGTTGAATAGTGAAGGTCCACATCTAGACTCAAAGGTCATAAATAAGGAAAATAAGAATCCACACAATGTAAAATGAACGTTCCGCCGTGAACTGTCAGCAGAAAATAGAGGAGAGTGTGTTTCGAGTACCTTTTTTAAAGCGCTATACAAATAAAATGTATTATTATCATTATTTTGTCCTGTGCAGAGTATGGCGGCTTGGGTCTTGACTTCAGCTACAGCGTAGCAGTTTCAGAGGAGCTTGGCAACATTCGCTGTGGAGGCGTCCACATGGCCATCGGTGTACAGACTGACATGGCTACTCCTGCGCTGGCCAGGTACAATCCCACAAATTCAGGGGTACATAATGGAGCATGCGCAATATTTGATAAATCTACTGATATTTTGTCTTTTGTCAAAAATGTGCAGCTTTGATTTTCAATTTGGGTTGGAGACTTGTCTTTGGTTGTACATTTACATTCTGCTTGCTGCACTAATCTCCCTCCACCGCTGCCTTTTTATCAAAAAGGACAACAACTAGTGAGGGACGAGGGAGACAATGTCTGCTGTGTGTTTTTGTTCCTTTTCACATCATCACCAGAGCCACTTGTAACCGAGCTGGAATGGTTTCATTCTGACGTGATAAAAGGTTGCCTGTATTGCTACCCCTGGCAACAATTGTCACCCCAATTAGCCTCCAGATAATTCTATTGTGTTTGACGTACGAGTTGTTAAAAACGAACCCAACGTCCAAACTATTTACAAAAGCATCTTTGTTCCAGAAATATTCTTCATTGTTTGGTCCAGCTCTGCAGAGCCGTCCGTCTCCTTTTCTTCAATCATCTCTAGCTTGTGTATATTTTACTGACTTTTATTGCTCTACATACGGACAATGATTATTTTAACAGCTGCACTCGTTAACAAGCAGTAAGTTGCACTGGTTGCATTTAATGTGATGCAGTTAGAATCAATTTTATTGTGCTACAAATGCTATAACCGAATGTGTACTGTTTCTACTGGTAATCCCGTCCACTGCTAAATAAATGAACACATTTCTACAAGGATATCACCTCTGGAGGCAGAGGATTGATTATAACCGGTTCTGCTGCACCATCTGCTCCATTGCGTATAGTAAACAACTGAAGCTGACGCTTACTGCTGCAAAAGTATCATAAAAAGTATCATCTTACCTACTTTTTACCATATTCTGTGTAAAGTATATTTGACTTTAATGTTGGCAAACTTATACATATGCAGATGAAGATAAAACTCTGACAGGCCAAGAATATTAGCCCTCTGATATATTGGCCTGATACTTTATTGTCCAGGCCCTGTTTTACTGTCTTAGTGGTCGTATTAAAGTTAGGCTAAAAAATACTGCCTGTCGTCCATCCCTTTATCAGAGTTACCCTCCCTAGAGAGGGTATGTGTATTAATATATTTAGTAATTGTTTTTCTCACCCATGTAGGGCCTTGGCTTGTTCTGTGATATCAACCTGCTATGAACCAGCTGCAGGTGGTAGAAGACAGAATTCAGTGAAACAGACAGTGGGAGTCTCAGGAGCTTAATTAGGGGATCTACACTTGATTGCAGCAAGGTCTAAGTGCTAAGAGAGCAGCAAAAAAGAAAAGATCTCGTGGGAGCTTCAGGATAAGACTCCCTCCTTTGTCCCACTGGAACTGTAATTGCTTCAAACGTGGCAGTGTGGTTTTAAAGCACCAAACGATCTCCTGCTTTTTCTTGCTGCAGTTGCGCTGTACAGTGATAGAGTTTTACCCAACTTGTATCACACACTTGCCTGACAATCATGTTTGTATTCAATGTAAATGTAGAAGAATTCTAGGAAATCAACAAGAAATGCTCTTGGATTCCCCTTAGTGTCACTTTTGTAACTGCTAATTAATACTTACAAACGTGCTTTTCTTTCTTTGTATACGTGTGCAGGTTTGGTTCAGCTGAGCTCAAGGAAGAGTTCCTCCTTCCCTCCATCATGGGGGACAAAGTGGCCTGCCTCGGAGTTAGTGAAGTCGGAGCCGGCTCTGATGTCTCAAGTACGTCTCTCCTTCATCATCTTCTGCTCATTTATTATCACATCATTTCCCGTTTAAGCTCCAGAAGGACCATTTTTGAATAAACTCGTGCTGCAGAAATGATTGGGCAGCAGCTTTACAATCAATCTGGCACTGATATTCTCTCAGGAGAGAAGTGTGGCATGATGAATGTGAAACACTGCATATAGGCCTACATTCTCCATCATCAGATTTCACCACCTTTTGCCTCCTTTTTCTGGATTAGTATTGTATTGTGTTTAAATACACCAGCTTTAGCCAAAATTGTATTTCTTGGACTAATCATCTGTTCAAACTTTGCATTTAACCCTTTATCCTAACATTTAACTCCCCTATTTTCTCTCTTTCTCTCTCCACCCATTTAAACACCACACATCGATTCAGGTATCCTGACCAAGGCAGTGAGGAAAGGGGATGAATATGTGATCAACGGGGGAAAGATGTGGACCACCAATGGTACCCAGGCTGACTGGATATGTCTCCTCGCCAACACAAGTGACGGGCCCGCACACAGGAACAAATCCCTCATCTGTTTGCCCATGAACCTGCCAGGTAGGTCTGTTAATTATCTGTGGGATGATTTACCTTTTAATAGCAGAAGATTTTATTTATTTTTTTCTGCCTTTAAGCCGAAAATGCACCATTGTAATTGTCATTTATCATCTGGGATTTAAGTTAATCTAAAAACAGCCCTCAAGTTTAACATTCTGTGTGTTTCACTTCTACTAAAACAGATGATTTACAGCAACATTCCCACGTCATTTTCTTGAGCATATTACCCTAAAGCCCCCTCTTTAGTGCGTCTGCATCCGTTCTATCAATAGGATCTGTTATTATTCGCATCCCTTTGCCAAGATGCATGATGACATCAATTTCTCTTTCGCTACTCTTCCCACTGGAGGAGTGCACATCGCCCGCAAGATTGAGAAACTCGGTATGTGGTCATCAGACACGGCTGAAGTGTTCTTCGATGACGTTCGTGTGCCCTGCAAGAACATCATCGGCCAGGAAGGCATGGGCTTCACCTATCAGATGCTTCAGTTCCAGGAAGAGAGGCTCTGGGCAGCGGCCAATGGTGAGTGAGCCTCTCTTACAGTTCGTCATCCCCCAACCCCCCCCCCTCCAAGCATATCCAGTAATCGGACATCATCGTTCCTAGTTTTCTTTATTTTCTTTTTTTTTCACGTAATCCTTCACCCCCAACGCAGTCTTTCACCACATCTCATCTGGCTCCTACTGATCTTAACCGTAAATTGCACAGTTTATTGTATTAAGGTATCATTTCCGTTATAGTTACCAAGAATTAGGGAGTTCAGGTCACATAGTTCAAGCCATTAATGTTCTGTAAAGTACTTGTTTGCTTTTGATTTTGAGTAGAAAGCATGCATCAATATTTCCTTTGGCAGAATTTATGAGAAAATGTTCAGGAGAAGTGGGACTTAACATTCTGTTACTAAATCTGAAGCTTATGCGTCTGGCCTGATAAATTTCTGTGCATCATATCATATATCAGAGACACAAATGACAAGCACTCACAGACATGCAGTAGTGTGCATGTAGTAGCAGTAGTAAGGTCACATCTCTGTCTCTCTATCGTAACACCTCTAGTCGTGACCATGATGGACAACATCATTCAGGAGACCATCCAGTACACGCGGCAGAGGAAGATCTTCAAGCAGCCTGTCCTCTACCACCAGTCGGTTCACTTCAGGTTGGCTGAGCTGCAGACGGAGGTCGAGCTGCTCCGCTCCCTTCTCCACCGCTCCACAGGTGGGATCCCTTTATATGCAGGCATTACATAACGAAAATGAAAGATTAATATTTGGTAGTGTTGGCTGCATTTGGATGACTCTGTTCCCTCTTAACGTCTTCCGCTTTTGGCTCAGAGCATGGAGGCTCACAGAATGAGTATAGTGGTTATAGCATCATCACAGCACATCTGTGTGAATGTGTATGTTTGTGTCTTTTTTACAGTTATTTCACATTCAGATATTGCATATCCATAATACCCTTAAAACCCAGGCCAGGAAAATATATGCTTAGATTTGTATGTGCAGTATTTTAGGAAAGTCTTACCAAATGAATGCAATGCAGCTTTCCTTGTGGCACGTAATACCATAGATAAAGAAGAAAGAAGAAGAAAGAAACATTCCTTTATTAGTCCCACAGCTCCCTGTGTATATATAGGGAGCAGTGGGCTGCCAATGACAGGCGCCCGGGGAGCAGTTAGGGGTTCAGTGTCTTGCTCAGGGACACTTCGACACAGGACACGGTGCAGCCGAGGATCGAACCGGTGACCTTTCGGTTGGCGGACAACCCTCTCTACCCAGTAAGCCACGGTCACCCAAATGGACTGAGGTCTCAGTAACAAAAGCCACAGTTGACTTAGCTCTCTAAGAATGATGCGAATGCCAAACTAGCCTTGAGTGGGTCATTTGTCCATGTACAATGCAGCAGGTTGGTTTAACAGATAGAGGACAACGTTCAGGCTGGAGAATAATGTGGTTGATTATTATTAACTGATAAGTTAACAACAATATGTTTGACCGGCTATAGACAGAACAGTAGTTGTTAGCTTTAGTATCAAAATTGCTTGCAACTAGATTGCCAAAACAACAAGAATCTCCTGGATGAGTTGCATGATTTTCACTCGGGGGTTAAATTCTACCCTTCTTATAGGGCGCTAACATTGCCTTTTCTGTTTCCCCATGTAATTATTTTAGTTAATTGTTATTATATTGATTTTTGTTCATTTGCCTCTCAGAGAACATAAATATATTTTTTGTCAGGGAGTTAACTGTCTTGCTCAAGGACACTTGGATTTGGTCGGGGGGGGGGGGACGGCGGTTCAAACAATTAATGGCTGGTCTGCTCTACCAAACCTCCTGTTGTTTCTGTGTGTACTGGCAGAACTTCAAAACCCACAGGCTTGGCCACTTGAAAACTGGCCCATACAACTGCTCCTCCAAAATATATCCTGTGTGCTTTACACTGCAGCGTTCATGATACGAGTATGTGGGTGTGCATCTGGCCGCTGTGTGTTCAAGGTCTTGTGATTTACTCGTTGTGTCTGTAACCACTCCAGTGGCAAGCAGCTTTGAATGAATTCATTCTAGCTGGTCCAATTCGCTTGCCCAGAAACAGAACTAAGCTTTTGAATCTGTTTGGTGCAGGTAGATAAACACAGACACACAAACAAACTTCTTTACAGACTGAAACAGGACAAATCATGCAGCTCACACATGTTCCTCTGGAGGGTTCCTACAATAGAAGCATTGATCAGCCACCAGTGACTCTGAAACTGAACCACGTTTGGTTATTGTCTTTGTGTCCCTCGCTACATTCTTTTTAACTCCCTTTTATCCACCTGGACATTTTTCAATCGTCCATGCTTGTGTCACTACTTCTGTCCTTTTTTTGTTTTGTCTCTCTGCAGCATTGTACGTTAAAGGCAATGATGTCACCAAGCTGGCATCCATGGCTAAGTTGAAGGCAGGCCGCCTGGCCAGGGAAGTGGGCGACAGCTGTCTCCAGTATTGGGGAGGAATGGGCTTCACCAGTGACGTGCTGGTCAGCAGATTTTACAGGTGAGTGTGGTCAGAGAAAAGGTATCTGAAGTAGAATGTCTTTAGTTAAGTGATGTGGTTTTGAAACATAATCTTCATCACAGTGATTTATAACAAATTCCATGATTTTCAATTACTTTCAGCCCTGTGCACTTTTATTTATCTCATCCAAAATAACAAATGTCTGTCCACAAAACCATGACATAGCATCACTAACGCGCGTTGCTAGCCAACTATGAATATTTGGCAGCCCACTATGCTTTTTGAGAGGGTATAACATTGCTATGGTAAGAGCAACCCCACCAGTTGGCAGGAGCTTGATGAAGCTTGCGGTAGATGCATGAGGAAGTTAAATCACATTGATTGATGGCTTCTACGTGAACATAGCATGTGATCAAGTAATACAAATTCTTGAAGAAACATGCAATTAGTCTCAGTCTCCTGTTGCGCACTGTTGGACTGATTCAGAATCTGTAGACTCTTATTTTACTCTGTGCTGACACCTACTGATGGGGCATATAATGCAGCTGAACAAGGGGTTCACGATACACAATGTTGAACAATCATTGCTGCAATTATTCAAGTGATTCAAATTTTGAAGGAAATTGTGATGCTTGTTACGGAGAAAACACCTGGTTGTAATAACTTTCTCCTCTCCACAGAGATTCCAGGTTATTGTCAATTGGTGGAGGGGCCGATGAGGTCATGCTGGGAATCATCTGCAAGTACATGGACACACTGCCCAAGAAATGATGTCATAAACCCCTGATAAACCCCTGAACCAGACGGACTGATGCATGCAGATAATGAGCCAATCGTTTCCAATGAATTGCTAAACACAAGTCACCTAAGTGCAGTTCTGATATGTAAGGAATCTTGACATATACGAGGAAGTTAGATTGTTCTAGTATTTTGCCTTTGATTGTTTTAACTGTACTGTATGTGGTCTGATTAGCTCACACACAGAACTATGAAGCTCCTGTGTTCTTGTTTTTCAAGAGCACACAATGTTAACAGCCTACAGTTGAATTATATTATTTGTAATGAGTTAATTTAAACATTTTAAAAACTAAATCTATTTTTTTGGAATACTTACCCCAAGTAATGTATGCAAAAATGACTTGTGTAAAATAAATATCTAGCAAAGATTTTATTGTTTTATTTGTTATTGACAAATTTATAAAAGAGTAAAATACCAGTTGTTTTAATGTTTGTAATGCATTCTCTATATGTGTAAGTAGCACACTCATACTGGTTAATTCAGAGCATAAAATGTGTTTATTTACATAAAAAAACATTTTTACAACCAAAATAAAATAAAGAACAGTTATTCATTTTTGAATGGCTGCCAACTGCTGTAATACATCCATTCATTCTTAAAAGCAAAAACACTAGATTATTTGCTTCAAGTAGCATTCTATAACTTAATCACTTTTAACACAACATTGTATCAACACATTTGCCAATTAATCACTCTTATCACATCTCTCATAATGTGCCCCCGACTGCATTTAGCTTTTTGACACCATAGTATCTCGATAAAGTAAGATAATCCTTTTAGTCCAGCAATGGGGAATATCTTCTACAGTTACACATTCAATGTTAGGTCTCATCTTCTCATCCAGCTAAATTGGGCTATCAAGCACATACATGTACTGTCCGTGTCTGCTTCAGATATACATATACAGTACACAAATCCTACTTCACATGGTCATTAATCATCTTAGACCCATTTCACTTTTTGGGGTTCCATCTCACAGCATCAGTAGGAGTTCTTTCATGACTCAATTTTGGGGTTTTTATTCATGAAATACTTGGAGATGTGGGTACATGTAAAGCTGAGACACTTGAAACAAAAACATCCCTGCCTCTCCTGATCAACATTACGTGGGTCTAGTTTTGAGGCTCATCAGCACGACACAAACTGTGGATGAAGGGGAGTTAGGAGGCCAACAGGGCCCGCCTATCACCTCAGCTTCATGAACCAGTACAGGACAAAGAAGACGAAAAGGCAGAAGAGCAGCATGTAGCACAGCAGCTTGGCCTGACTGCCTCTGGACAGCTGCTTCACTCTGCCGATAGTAGCACCTAGCAGGCCGCCTGTTGAGTCAAAGTCTGTGTCCTGTGGGACAAAAAGTTTAAAGTCCATGCAGGCCAGGAAACACACATACTGTAACAAGCAGTTCCTGGGTTTAAATGAGTTTACTCATACTGCGATATGCAAGTACAACTGTGAGGCACTTTGATAATTCCACACTACATTTCAGAGGGAAATATTATATTGTGTATATAAAGTTATCTTTATGCCACTTTGTTCGTCTGACAGTTATATTGATGATTTTTAACACAAACTATACTAATATGATTAATTGAATTTAAAATACGCAGCAGTACATAGGATGTAGAAGTATCTCTCACCCTACCAGCTGTAACATTAAAATTATGCTTCCAGGTTAATTAATCAATAATCAATTAACACTCGTAATAAATACTTGCCAATACTTTTGTACTTATGATTTGAATGCAGGACATTTACTTGTAAGAAGATATGAGTACATCTACTTAAGTAAAGAATCTTAAATAGCTTTCCTACCACTCATATTTAAGTTAATTTATAGTCAGTAAGAAAAGAAAGTAAAACTTGCCATATCACTCAGCATTGTATTCTGGTATTTGACTTCCGTTCCAATGTCGATAGACAGCTGTAAATATCAAGTAACAACACATCAACATCACATTTAAAACAACCATATCTATGTTTTGTATTCACCAATAATAAAAACATGTAACTACATTTATCAATAGTTACTTACACTTTTCAAAGCGGTGACTTTAGCTCTCAGCCCCTCCTGTAGATGTTCATTCTCCTCTTCATACACACTGTATCCACTCGCCACATAATTCCCAGGGCCTCCTTCGCCTAACAAAACGAGAACGATCATTAACACACCATTTAGTTAGCCATTTTATCCGTTTGTTATCTATTTTATCCGTTCACAACAACGAACGTTCATTCACACATGCTAACAACATTAGCTTACGTTAAGCTAGCTGTTAATCAACGTTCGTCTGTCAACGTCTGTCTCTTACCCAAACCGGCGCGCCTCATCTTGAACCAGTGAAGTTGTCCGGTGGCTTACCCGTTTATAACTGTGTAACGTTTAACACAACAACGTCTGACCGAATATAAGCTAGAAATGACAGCGAACGGGGATGGGGTCTCTGTGGCAAGTTCGTACCAATAGGCTTTAACGCAGCACCATAAGCCACGTCATCATACGGTGGCCGACGAGGACTAATTCTTTGATGACAAGCCCCGTTATGCAAAAACAGATGAATGCATGCATCAGCGGGAATGCTGGGGTGTGTGTTATTTGCTCATTTAAATATGTGTTGATTAAAATTACAGGTAGTAAACTGATCGTGAAGTCAGTGCTTCAGAAATTAGGCAAACAGGGGTGGACGTAACGTAATTTATTCTCGCTACTGTAATAAAGTTGTTTTTTGTGTATTTGGTATTCATCATTGTAAATCACTACATTTCTCAAGTCTCTTC